TTTATTAGTTTTTTTTTCAAGAAGATGGGCAAGTTACTTTTGTCTTGCATGGTTTTCATTTTTGATTTCTTGAAATATAGGTCTGGAAAGACAAACTTTTAAAAAGCCTGTTTTGTTTCAAATGGACCTATTTGACTCTACCCTAATGTTCAAATCGCTCTTCTTCCACCACCTGTCCCCCTCTCCCTCTCAGAGAGCTATATCACCTAATAAATAATATTAAAAAGATAAAGAGGAAAGATCAGCTTAATTGCTCAAGATATTGAATGTGTCTGAAAATGTTCAATGTACAATACATATGGACCTCCCACCTCTGCAAAGGGGTGGGTAAGTCTTCTCCTATTCCTTCCTTCAGCCATGTTTGTTCTTTATATTTATGCAACACTCACTTTTGTGTGTGTGTGTGTGTGTCTTTCCATTTGCATTCACTGTGTCATTTCCATTTACAATCACTGTGTCAATTATTTTCTTGACTCTCCTTACTTCATTCTGTGTTATATCAGTCCTTGTAGATATTTCCATGCTTCTCTGTATTCACCAAATTTGTTTTTTCTTTCAGCATATTAATATTCCATTGCGCTTGCATATCATGGTTTGTTTAGCCCTTTTCCAATTGTTTGGTGTTTGTACTCAGCTTTGGTCTTTTCATCCCGAATAACTGAAAGTCCTCTATTCCATTAAAAAACTTGATTTTTCCCCCTGTATTATTCTAGTCAGCATTGCATGGTAAGTTACTTTTGGCTGTATACCTATCTCTTTTGCCTTTTGGGATATATTCCTACTTCATTTCTTATTTTTAGGATAAGTTGCCAGGTTTTGTGTGATCCTGACTGTGCTTTGGTTCTCAAACTGCTTCTTTTTAGAAGCTTATAAGATATGTGTGTATGTGAGTATGTGTGTGTGTGTGTGTGTGTTAAATGTAGAAGCTCTGAATTTTGGCTGTGATAATCTTGGTATTTTTCCTTTTGAGTTTCTTTTTAGAAAGTGACTGGTATATTCTTTCCATCTTCACTTTGCCCCCTGGTTTTAGTAGATCTGGGCAGTTTTCATTTATGATTTCTTAAAATATAACATCTAGGGTGTGTGTGTGTGTGTGTGTGTGTGTGTGTGTGTGTGTGTGTGTTTGTGTTTAAACATGGAGACAACTAGATGGTGCAGTAGATATAGAACTCTGGTCCCGGAGTCAGGAAGACCTGAGTTCAAATTTGGCCTCAGACTCTTAGCTCTGTAACCCTGGGCAAGTCATTTAGTTTTTGTTTGCCTCAGTTTCCTCAGCTGTAAAATGGGGATGATAATAGCACCTAATATTCAGTGTGTTTGTGAGGACTAAATGCAGTAATATTTATAAAGTAGTTAGCACAGTGCCTGGCACATAGCAGGTACTGAGAAAATACTTGTGTCCTCTTATTTTCATGGAGCTGAACCATTCTTAACTTATCTCTCCTTAATATATTTTTCAGGTCATTTTTTGATGTTAATTATTTTGTATTTTCTTCTATTTTTTCATTCTTTTGGTTTTCTTCTAATATTTCTTATTCTCTCTTATGGAGTCATTGATTTATGTTTGGTCTATTTTTAGTTTTCAAGGGGGTAATATCGTGGACGAAGTTGAACACTTTCTCTTCTCAGGCGTTTCTTTCCTTCTAATTCTTTCCTCCATAGATAATAATTTTAATTTTTTATCTGTTAATTTCTTCTAACTATGCATGTCATTCCCTTGTGGAAAACAATTTCTTTTTTTCCCCCCATTTGAGTTGTTGCTTGCAATTAAGGTATTACTCTCTCCTTTTGGGAGATCTCCTATTGGCAAAGATTTTTGATACTGTTTGGCATTTTCTTTTATTTGCTCATGTGTCCATTTAGTTCCTGACTTGGGGCTGTGGGCCAGGGCCAGTTTTGCTCTCTGCTGTGCTTTTTGGATGGGATGATTAACTCTGCTTCGTCACTGCCTGTATCCCCTAGGGTATTGTGCTGACCTCTAGCTCCTCTTCTGGATATTTGGGATTCAGAGCCCCTGCTCTTCCAGGCCCACCCTGACATCTTATGTCAGAATATTAGGGCGCTCAAGGCCCCTGGGCTAAGTCTGCTGTGGTTTGAGTGCAGTGATGCTTCTTCTCTCTGGTCGTTGTTGCCTTTGGACAGGCTACACACATTTTGCTAGGGGCTTCCCTTTCACATTGCTGCAGGCCTCTGGCTAACTTTTGATATGGCTGTGTAGTAGTTTATGTCCCTTATTGTAGCTTCTCATTGGATTTCTTGATTATTATTCAGTGTATGTGAATGTCAGGGTTTTGCTGAAATAGTTGCATAGGAGCTGAATTTTCTGCCTTGCACTCAAACAGCCATCTTGACAGAATGCCTTTTAGTTGGAAAACCTTCCTTAAACCTCTTTTCTATTATAATGTGTCCTACTAACAGCTGCCAAAATCAGCTTTCTAAAGTTCAAATATGACCAGCTTACCCTTCTTCCCCCCCACCAATAAATTCTAGTTTGTGACATGACTGAAGATAGAGCCCTCTGTTTGGCGTTTAAAACTCCTCACCACCTGTATCCTTTCTACCTCAACAACTTCTTCAAGGAAGGACTGTGTATCTTTTTCATTTGTTCATTTATTACTGTGCCTGGTACATATCGATGTTAAATTTGTGCTTGTTGACTGGTCTATCCTGTCTTTTCTCATTCAGGAGTGAAGAAAGTTATTTTTAATATAATTTAATTTTTCTGTTGCATGCATCATCAATTACCATTATTTAGGATTTAAAAGGCATATTATTATTTATATCTAAAGTTTTTCACTAAAATAGGGTATAAGGTAATGCTTATGACACTACTCTTTTTCTTTCTTTCATTCTTTTTTTTCTTTTTTTGCTTTTAGGCAATTGGGGTTAAGTGACTTGCCCAGGGTCACACAGCTAGTACATGTCAAGTATTTGGTCTGAGTCCGGATTTGAACTCAGGTCCTCCTGACTTCATGGCCGGTGCTCTATTCACTGAGCCACCTAGCTGCCCTGACACTACTCTTTCTTGTGTCTTAATTTTCATAGTAGCCACAGAAAGTGACAACAAACAGATTTTTTGTGTAATTGTCTTACAAAGTGGAAAACATATGCTGATTCATCTTCAAACACTGAGTTTGTTTTAGGTTGATTTCCTAATAGTATAGCACGTTAGTAAAGTTAGTCCATGTAAAATTCTTCCATCTTAGAAAATTACTGGAGAGACTATGGAGCAAAAAGGCATATTTTGTAATGTTTTTAAAGAAAAGTAAATCTTGTACTCTTTACAGTGACCTGTGTGGGTTGAATGGCATCACTGAAGAAACTTATCATCATACATCTTTTGGTTTTTAAATGGATATGAAGTATGGGAGTGGAGATAATGTGTCTTTAGGGAATGGTAAAAGATCTACATCTTTAGCAGATTAGGAAACATTCCAGTTTTAAAGAGTTGATTTGGAAAGTACTTAGATTAAAGTGACTATTTTGTAAAATCTAGTTAGGATATTTTTCATAATAAAAGCATAGTTATACTCCTAATTTGGTGTATTTAACAATTACTTTTGCTGATTATTAAATGTTATTTTACATACAGTCAAAGTGACTGTTTAAGTGTCAAGTTTGATAGTTGGAGTTAGGTAGTAATTCACAAAATAGAAAAAGCTAGTAGTTAGATGGTACAGTGTGCTGGATCAAGACATATATTCAAACCTGGGCTAAGACACTTACTAGCTGTGTCAGCCTGGGCCAGTTACTTAACCTCTATCTTCCTCAGTTTCCTCAACCATAACATGAGGATAATAATAGCACTCGCCTCCCATGGTTATCATGAGGAACAAATGAGACGATATCGGTAAAGCACTTAGTGCAGTGCTTGGCACATAGTAGATACTTAATAAATGCTGTTTGCTTCCTTCTTCCCTTCCATATTCTGTGGCCAGACCACTTTCTGGTTGCTTCTATGGAATGTGAACCATGTTTTAGATGTTCTATAAGAGGAATAAAGAATACCTCAGGATCTTCTATACAGCAGTTATCCACCTAACTAATCATAATATATGATATGAAGTTGAAATATTATCCAAGTGTAGTGATAATAGTTAACTTTATATAGAGCTTAAAAGTTTTCAAAGAGCTTTAAGTAGATTGTCTTCTTTGATATAACCTTGTGATGGAGTGCTATTATTATCCCCCTTTTTATAGATGAAGAAACCAGTAATGAGAGGGGTTGAGTGACTTGCCCAGGGTCATACAGCTAGTTAGCAGAGCCATACGGTCTTTACTTTGAATTCATATTCACATGTTCCTGATTCCAAGCCTGGCACTCCATTTACCACACATCTCTCAGCTGCTAGTACTGTATCAGTTTAGCTTTAAACTTAAACATTGCTCTTAGGATCCTAAGATAATAGCTCTAGAACTGGGTGAGACTTTAGAGCGTATCAATTCAACTGCTGCATTTTATAGGAGAAGAGCCTGAGGTCTAGAGAGTTGCCTGAAGTCCCAAAGGCAGTGGTAAATGGCAGAGCTGGGATTTGAACCTATGTCTCTTGACTCCAAATCTGTTGGCCTTCCCAGAGCACCACGTAGAGACAAAATTTGGACCCAAGTAATATAACACCAAATCCATTCTTTTTTCAATAATAAAAATTAAACAATAACATCAGTAACATTTTCACAGTGATCTAAGGTTTGCAAAGCACTTTATATATTATCTCTCTTCATCTTCGTATTCACTATATCACATTCAAGGGTCATAAAGAGAAGGTTAAGAGTTTTGAACTGGTTCAGTGATTTGCCCATTTTAGCTTCTATGTGAGGGAATCTGGAATAATATTGTCTAAGAAAATTTTGGATTCTGATTAATTCTTGAGCTTTTAATTACATCCCAAGAATGTAGTATTGAAACTTTAACTTTGCGAATTATTTGATTATTTTAAAATATATATTATTTTTATGTTTAATGTTCTCTGAAACATTGTATTTGTTTTATGTTTTTAAAGACCAGGTGTTATCACGAGCCATATCCATATTTCAGGAAAATGAGGAAACTAAGGAGGAATTTCTGGAAATACAAACATTTTCTACAAGTATGGTTAGATTATTATGGAAAATAACATTTAAGTTAGATGCAATATACATAAGAATTTTACTGTAGCCAATACAGAATGCTTAAATGACTGTATAAAAATTGGTTTGTAAGCATAGGTATGTTACTGTGTTCTGAGCAATGTCTGACTTAGGCCTGGTAGTTCAGACTTGGGATTGGAATGAAATGAGATGCTTGTAGACTATATAAACTTGACCAAAAAGAAATTTGTTCAATAACATATAGAAAGCATATTCAGCAAAAGTTTGCCATGATTATGAGCCCATTCAGTAGGATGTGTTGACTAACTTGGCAGTAGGAAAGCCACCATACTTGAGAAACCTTGGCTACTTATGCTTTAGGCTTTTATGTCTTTTTTTTTAAGGTGTAAATCTTTTTTTTGTCTTTTTTAAAATTAAATTTATTCATTTTTAGTTTTCAGTATTCATTTTTATAAGATTTTGAGTTCTAAAATTTCCCCCCTTTCTCCCTCTCCCCCTCCCCAAGAAAGCATGCAATCTGATATAGGCTATACATGTATAATCATATTAAACATATTTCTATATCAGTCATGTTGTGAAAGAAAAAACAGAACAAAATGGAAAAACCACAAGAAAGAAAAAAGAAAGAGAGAAAATAGTATGCTTCAATCTGCATTCAGACTCCATAGTTCTTTCTCTGGATGTGGATAGTATTTTCCCCTATGCATTTTTTGGGATTGTCTTAAATCATTGCATTGCTGAGAAGACCTAAGTCTCTCAAAGTTGGTCATCATACAATGTTGCTGTTACTGTTGAGGTTTAGAGGTTAGGGGTGCTGGGACCCCAAAACCACAACACATGGGTCCTGCCCAAAAGAATTTAACCCAAGTCTTCTTTCAGCCAAAGACAAGGTTTATTAGAACATTGTCATATTGGGCGGACTCTTAAGGAATCTAAGCATTTATATGGCTTCTGCAAGTGGGCCAGATTTTAAGAATTTAAGCCCATGGCTTTATTGTAAGAATCTGAGCACTTGGCTACATTTAAGAATCTGAGCACCTTAATGGAGACAAGATGGACCTTATGTACAGAAAGACTATGGGAGGGATCTAGGAGTGGCCAAATAGTTTGAGGGAACTATGAGGTAATAGAAAGCCAGGGACCTGGACCACATGGCCAAGGGAGAATGGAGCCTAGCTAGGATTAAGGGTGGGAAATGGCCAGGGACCATAGGGAGGTAAGGCAATGGGGGGCTAGGCTAGGTTAAGGGTAACAGAGAATTGGGAGATTGGGTGTAACCACAATGAAAGGCCAGTTGATGGGATTATAGCCTCAGGCAAATGCCAGAGATTTGACTATGTGGGAAAGTCCAGGGTTTTTCCTTTTTGGGGTCTAGATCCCATCCTCATCATTACTGTGTACAATGTTTTCCTGATTCTACTCACTTCATTCAGCATCAGTTCATGTAAGTCTTTTCCAGGTTTTTCTGAAATCCTAAGCTTGTATGTCTTAAACAGATATGCAACTATGTAAATGGTTTTATCTATGATGACAAAAAAGAAAAATGACAAATGCTGGAGGCTATATAAGAAAAACAGGTACACTAATGTACTGTTGGTAGAGCTATGAACTAGTCCAGCCATTTTTAAAAGAATTTCAGCACTGTGACCAAGAGGCTATAAAACTGTACAAGCCCTTTGACCCAGCAAGACTGCTACTGGGCCTATACCCTAAGATATCAGGGAAGAGGAAAAAGACTCGCGTATACAAAAAGATTTATGGCAGCTCTTTTTATGGTGGCAAAGAATTGGAAATTGAAGGGATGCTCATTCATTGGGAATTGACTGAATAAGTTATGGTACATGGAAGTGATGGAATGCTGTTGTACAGTAAGAAATGATGAAGGAAATACTTTTAGAAAAACTTGGGAAGACTTATATGAACTGATACAAAGTGAAGTGAGAAGAATGAGGAGAACAATCTACATGGTCACAGCAAAAATTTAGAGATCGATTTTGAAAGACTTAATAACCTTGATCAACACAATGACCCACCACAATTCCAAAGGACCCATGATAAAACATGCTATCCACCTCCAGGTAGAGACCTGATGGACTCAGAGGATAGACTAAAGTATATTTTTTCTTTCTTTTTCTTTTTTTGGGGGAGGAGTCATGGCTAATGTAGGAATTTGTTTTGCATGACTGTACTTATGTATAATAGCTTTTATTTTTCTTGCCTTCTCGGGTGTGGGATGGAAAGGAGGAGGGAGAGAATTCGGAACTGAAAAAAAATATTCTCTGTGCTTTGAAAAAAAATAAGAAGTCTCTTAAAATAGTTGAGGCAGAAGAAGGAGGTAACGATTTTGGCAAGGAATGAGTAGATAGAAAGGATATTTGCAGAAATACAACTCATTGAATGGGTGAGGTGAAGGGGTGAGAAGAATCAAAGTGACCCCAAGGCTTCAAGCCTAAGTGACCAAGAAAATTAAGTCTCATTAATAGAAGCAGGAAAGTTAAATAGGAGAAGGTTTGGCAGGGAGGGAAGAAGGGAGAATATGTCTTAAGTTTTGGACATAATGAGTTTGAAGTTTTTATAGACCAATATATGTATATCTAATAGGTAATTAAAATTACCTCTGGGGTGAAACTCCGGGCCCATAGTTTTCTGATATGGCTTGGGTGGGGGATATAGATTTTTTGTTTAGATTGCCTATGGGGATGCGGAGTGGAGGGAGTCTGGGTATAGGGATATCCAAGTGACATGATGTCACTCTCAGCCCAGCACTGGAGTGAACTCATTTCTCTTTACAAAGTCCGCTTCTCATTAATTATTAACAGAACACCCCTCTGCCAAGAGCATATAAGCCGGGAGCTAGCCATGAGGGTCTTTGGCATTTGAGAGGGCCACTGACCTCTTTTTATTTAAAATGCTGGCATTATTAATAAAATGAATAATTGCTCAGAAATTCTTTCCCTCCAACTTTTTAAATGCCACAGATTTGAGGGTCATTTGCATAGAGATAGTCTTCAAAATCACAAGATAAGGTGGAGGGGAGAGTAATGTCTCTCTGGGCAGGAAAATTGAGAGGAAATTTCCCCCTTTTTATTCAGTATATCAGACAGCTGATTGGGTTACTGAAGGAAATTTAACTGCCCAAGAAGTCCTAGGGACAGCATTATTGTAGCACTTTTGATACCAGGTGATTAATTGGCAAATATTTATTGAGTGCCTATTTTCTGTATGGCATGTTCCTCTGTATCATTTTAAGGTTTCAAAAAACTAATCTCTCAGTAATCCTCTGTGACAGAAAGTACAAGAACACAGATGAAAACAGAATATTTTCTAGTTCTTATGGAAATTTAACAGATGCAAAATAGTTGCCACTATGAGACCAAAAGAGCCTAGAAAATATCTTAGCGAGCAAACTCTTGATCTTGAGCTGATGTCGCAGAAATACAATACTGTGCCCAGAAGTAGACTGGAAGAAGAGGACAGCCTGTATTATATTTGGGATATTGTGCAGTATTTTCAGTGCTCCCTAGTTTCTTTCTTCCTGAAAACAATATCTCATTTTTTCAACATCAGTATTCTCTGGGATAATAATTCTAATCATAATCACGATAATGATAAAGTCAGCATTTATATAACATTTTATAGTTTGCAAAATGCTTTACAAATATTATCTTATTTGATCCTTACAACAGCCTTAGGGCAGGGAAGGCGGGGGCAGTAATTGTATGCTTTATAACTGCTAAGCACAGAATAACACAATGTATAAGGAATTAAAATTCTGAAACATTGAAAAGGTAATAGAGAGATTCATGGTAGATGTAAAAAAAAAATACCAAAAAACAAAAAACTGCTCCAAATCCTTAGTGATGAACTGGGCACAAAGAGTCATAAATAGTAATAATTAGCATTTGTATAGTGCTTTAAGATTTGTAAAGTGCTTTACAAATATTATCTCATTTAGAGGGTAGCTGGTGGTACAGTGGATAGAGTGCTGGGCCTGGAGTAAAAAAGAACCGAATTTGACCTCAGATACTTCCTAGCTGTGTGATCCTGTACAAATCACCTAACCTCTGTTTGCCTCAGAGTTTCAACTGTAAAATGTGGATTGTAATTGCACCTACCTTTCAGGGTTGTTGTGAGGATCAAATAACATGATGTTCGTTTAAAAAAGCATTTAACACAGTGCCTGGTACATACTAGGTGCTATATAGGTGCTTATTTCCTTGCCTTCCCCTTTCCTTCATTTGTTCCTCATATAACCCTGGGAGGTAGATGCTATCATCATCCCCATTTTTATTGATGAGGATACTGAGTCTGAGATGTTAAGTGACTTGCCTAGAGCCACACAGCTAGTAATGTCCAAAGCAGAATTTAAACTCAATTCATCTTGACTCCAACTCAGGTACCCAATCCACTGTACCACCTTATATCCTCAAAAAGATTTAGCAAGACTGAGGAATTCAAGATGGATAATCTGCATGACATATAATATCAAAACACCCAGTGCTGGGGTTCTTAGCCTTTTTTTGTGTCATGGGATCCTTTGGCAGTCTGTTGAAGCCTATGGACCCCTTCTCAGAATAATGTTTTTAATTTGTTAAATAAAACATATAGAATTACAAAGAAACCTAGAGAGACAAGGGTGTCAATAAGAAGAGAGTAATCAGCCGTGTCAAAGCCTTCAGAGGGGTCAGGAAGAATGAAGATTGAGAAAGGGCTATTGGATTTGGTAATTCAGAGATCATTTATGACATTGGATTGAGCAGTTTTTGTGGAATGATGAGGTCAGAAGTCAGATTATAGGGGGTTAAGAAGAGAATAAGATGAGAGGAAGTAGAGATACATATTACAGATGGCCTTCATAAGGAGTTTAGGCACAGAGTAGAAGAGATATAGGATGAAGTTAGTGGGGATAGAAAGATCGAGTGAGGGGATTTTGAGGTTGGAAAAGACATATGGATGCTTGTAGGCAGTAGGGAAGGAGCCAGAAGCCAAGAAGAGATGAAAGATAAGTGAAAGAATGGGGTGACAGATCTAGATCACGTGTACAAGTTGAGGTGTTTGCCTTGATAAGAAGAAAGGTCACCTCTTCATGTGAGACAAGGATAAAGGAGGGGATAGTGGCAGAAGACCTGTGAATGATACAAGATGAAGAAAAGGGGAGGAAATGGGGTTCACAGTGAATGGCTTCAGTGTTTTTTTTTCTGCAAAATATGAGCCAAGGTTCTTAGCTGAGAGGGTGAGTGAAGGAAGCCATGGAAAGTTTGAGGAGGGATGAAAAGGTGTGGAAGACCCACTGTGGAGAATGGGATAGTGAGATGGTAAGGGAAATGGAGTAGGATTGCCTAGGAGCAGTGAGGGTCCAGTTGAGATTGTGTAACATAAATTTGTAGGGGACTCAAAAAGGTTCCGTGATTTTTTCTACCTCTTTTCAGCAGACCATGTGAAAGAATGAAGGTGGTGGGTGGTGTGAATGATATAAGACTGAAGTTTTCCAGGACACAATCAGCAGTATGATAAGGGGCCAGAAACTCAAGAAAAAGGAGGAAAATAAAGAGTTGAATTGGTTCACCAAGGGGTCAAGGTGTAGGGAAAAGAGGAGAGAGTGGGTAGTGTAATGATGATGACCAGGGAAAGAATTGAGGGCTAGAGTGATTGGAGATTACAGTGTGGGTGATGAGTAGAGTTTGTTATAGGAATATATATAGAGAGAGATGGAAAGCCAAGATATTATGGTCAGATAAGGGAATTTTATAATTCTTAAGCAAGGAGTTGATGAATTTGTGGATGATGGCAAGATCAAAGATACGGCTATCTTTGTGTATGGCTGAGGTAGGGTGAAGGTTTAGGTCATGGGAAGTGAGTAGGTGAGAAACTGGATAGTTAAGGTGTTTGAGGAAGAGTAAATAGGTATGTTGGAGGTCTGACCATGTCACACACCCCCATTTCCCACTTCAAACACACACACTCAATAAACTCCAATGGCTCCCTATCGCTCCAGGATCAAATACAATATCCTCTGTTTGCTTTTTAAAGCCCTTCATATCACATCACCTACATCTCCTTTTCCAATCTTCTTATATCTTACTCCCTGCCATGTACACTTTGATCCAGTGACACTGGCCTCCTGGCTGTTTCAGGAACAAGATACTGCATCCCTCAGCTCTGGGCATTTTCTCTGGCTCTACCCCGTTCTCTCTCCTGATCTGCACCATTGGCTTCCCTGACTTCCTTGAAGTCCTAACAAAAATAAAAAGCTTTCCCAAACCCTCTTAATTTTAGTGGCTTCCCCCTTTCATTATTTCCTACCTATGTTTTTATGTTATCTCTTCCATTGGATTGTAAGCTCCTTGAGGGCAGAGATTTTTTTTGCCTCGTATCGTATCCCCAGAGCTTTACAGAGTGGCTGGCACATAGTAGGTACTTAATCTTTGTCAATTAATTCATTGAAACCTACCTTTCTCTGAAGAGCATCCCTGATTGGAATGCAAGGGGAAGAAAGCAAGAAAAAAAATATCACTGAAGAAGGTAGGGCCCTTGCTTTCCATCACCCTGGTCCATGTTTTTGTCTTCAGTAGATTTATTTGCCATCAGTAGCAACAATAGCAACAGCTTTGCCTTTGTGCCCTGTTTTGGCAAATAGTGATGATGATGATGATGATGATGATGATACTATAATAATAATAATATATTTATAATGATAGCTAGAATATATAGTGCCTACTATATGCCAGGCACTGTGCTAAGTATTTTACAATTTTTATTTTGTTTGATCCTCACAACAACCTTGGGAGGTAGGTGTTGTTCTTATCTCTATTTTATAGTTGGGGAAGCTGAGGCAGGCAGAGGTTGAATGACTTGCCTAATGTTATACAGCATATCTGTCTGCCTACATTAAGAAACTTAGAACTGGGGGACAACATAGAGGCTTATGGTAAAAGCAAGAGAAAAGTGATGAGATGCTGAAAACAGATAAAACAGGTGAAAACAGGGTATTAAACTCCCCCCCCCCAAAAAAAGAAAGAAAATACTACCCAGTTCACCAGTGGTGGGATGGTCATTACCTTTTTGTAAGGTCAGGTAAGAGAGAACATGAGCAAACACAGGCAGTCACACATGCAACACTGTGTAAGCATTGACTTACCCATAGGCTAGGCCAGAATATTAAATGTGATATTTATGTTATCGACCTTTAGCAAATGTTTGCCTTAGCTGAATACAGAGAGGACAAATTTGGTTTTCTGTGGACAGACCGCAGGGAAAATTTGGGGAGAGGCCCTGTTGGAGATACAAAAGATTTTAGCTAAGCCAATTTAGCCCAAGCTTGTCGTAGGAACTAACTGATCTTTTGTTCACAGACCAAGGTAAAAAGACGACATTGAGCCTATTGAAATTGTTAAGTGCTCACTGTGACTCCACGTTTGATTTAGATAAGGAGTTGGAGGAATTAGCAAAGGTTCCAGAAAGTAAGTTCTCCATCATTTCATTGTGTTAATTCTCATATTATTTCATGTAGAGAATTTTGTAGTTGAAAGCCGTGTTAAGTTGTAATTCAGCCCCCTTTATTTTACAGGTGACAAAACTGAAGACTAGAGAGATGAATTCATTTATCTCAGATAATCGAGCGATTCCACTCAGTGTCATACTTAGTCCTAGAACCGAGGTCTTTTGTTTCATTGTCCAGATCCTTTAAAAAAGAAGTTTTCCTTACCAAATATTCAAAAGCATCCAAATTCTGTGAAATAACCACAAGCCCATCTGTTAAAAATCTTGAATATTAGTTTTATTGAATGTTCAAAATTAATCCTGTTTATTACAGAATTTTAATGAAACTTTAAATTTTCACAGATTTGTTTCCCCTGCTTTTTCATATGTAAAATATTAATCATGATATCAAAGAAGTACAATAGAGATCAGTTAGTATTCTTAAATGCTTGGAAAGTGTCATATGTGTATGTATCACACACATACATATACATGTAATGAGTCATTATTATCCTTGCTTCCCCCACATTTAATGAAATATTTCAAATGCCTTAAGTATGAGGGAAACCATTAGGTTGTTAAATTTGTATCAAAACTTTATTTTTAGAGGGAAGAGCAAAATGGCCATTTCAAGGTATCTGTTTGGGAGAACTGTTTACTGACTTGTTCCCTGTTTTTTTGTATACCAAGAAGGTGAAATGAATTCCTTTATATGAACTTAAGGGAAAGATACAGGTTTTAAATTTGCAATCTTTTAATAGGTAGATGTGATAAAAAAAAATAGCTAAAATAAATAGATATGCTTTCAAGTTTCAGTAATGCTTTAGGAAGAAACATTGAATGTCTGAAATAAGTTATATTTGCGTAGTATGTCAAAGCATTTCTAATAATTGTTTTTTGTTTATTTTTATACCATTTTGCAACAATTGGAAATTCTAATAGATTCAGTTTACGTCATTTAGCAAAACATTACTTTGGTTTACAGATACTCAGATTGTGTCTCTTTGGAGATTACTTCTAGCTTTAGTAAAAACAATATTAGTAAATTTAGTAAAACAGTATTATTTGGTTTATTGATCTAATTGTAGTCTGTAGCAGGGCTTCTTAAACTTTTTCCACTCGCATGCCCTTTAGCACTTCTTAAACCCCCATAAGGTGTTACTACCCACATAGTATCTTCCATGAGATATAATGGCTTAAAGGTAGTCCTCCTCATCATTGCTATTAAAAACATATATGGTCTAAAAGGGAATTGCCATAATTTCCTGGTACTCCCCGAGGGTCAGATGAAATGAGCGTACTGCTCTGTTCTTCTGGAGGCAGGGAATCTATTTGGCATCTTCATTTAAGGAGAATAGTGATTATAACTATAACTGGCCAATGGCATTCCCTAGAGCCCACAGTCCTGCAAGTAAGCACTTTGGTGGAGTTGCATGGACAACTTTGCAATGCTTCTGCAACCTTCAGCTGATTTTGGTCACTTCAGGATTAGAATCATTCAGGCACATCAGATTAAGTTGACTGGATGATGCATACAGCTGAATGCTACAGTAAGTCTATCAATCACATTTCACTTGGGACTCCAATCTTCAGAAAGAGAAGGTGGAAAACGAGGTTACTATAAAGAAGGTGACCAGCTATTCCATTTTGTGGCATGAGTAATTTAGGCTAGAAATAAAGAACATCTTGCATGCATGAATGATTGATATATTGTTAGCAATGGAAGATGTGAAATCTCCCTGGGAGCATTGAAAATGGATGGAAAAATATGTTTAAATAGCACGGCGAGAATTTCTCTGGAAGAAAGGCTTATACTAAATATCTGTTTCATAATTCTATACTTCTATGATGCTATGAAACCATTCATTTATGGTTTATCTTAAATCCTTTGTTTAGCATTTCATTCTGCATATTTAGTTTATTATTGCTTATCTCATTGGTGTATCGTATCCCCAGTGGTGATTCTTTTCTGGATTACTGATTTTTCTTTAGCATTGGTTTTTTTTTTTCTGAATTGCTAGCAGCTTCTTAATTTTCAATTCCCAAAAGTTATCTGTTATATATTTCACTGTTTGTAAAATGATACTTGGAAGCTCCATTATTAGTGAGTGAAATGCCTCTCTCATGTTTCCTAATTTTCAGCAAAACAAAAATTATATTGTCATTGTTATATAACTTTTTTCAAGGTAAAGTAAGGCACAAAGTTCCAAACATGATCAATTTATTGACAGAGTACAAATTTGCCAATAAACAAGGTCTTGGCCCTCTTAGAAAAGCTAAGACCAGAATGAGAGGGAATAGCTGTCTTTTGTAGACAAAAGAAGGCAGCATCTTGTCATAGATGGGGAAAACAGTATGATTAATTAAAAAGCTTGTAGGTCATAGGTGTAAGGAACAATATGATTAGCTGGAAATTGGGAATGAGGGGCTAACCACAATCTTTCCTTCCCCCCTCTCACTAAGAAATGTTCATTGTTTGAGTCCACTTGCAAGGAGAGTTTAGCGATATTGAACCAGACTACCTTGGATAATAGACCAGATTCCTTGGCATCCACCTGCATCTTTTAAGGATAACAGATTTCCTTGAGACAAGACTAGAAGAGTGATTAGCAGGAGACCTGAACTTCTAAACTTATCTCAGACACAATGAGTGATTTACAGAAAAGCTGAATTTCCAAACTTAACTCTGAGATAAATGAAACATGACTTAGGCAGTTACAAAAATGTCGGCAGTGATACAGAATGAACTCAATAACAAAGTAGGATCAATTTGATTTCCCCGATTTTCACTCTGTTTCCAGTAATGCATGATGAAGTTCTCTTGGCCTATCCTACTCGACGAGTGAGTTGTGCTGTGGTAAATACTCCATCGCCATGTGTCAATAAAACCATTGGTCACATTGAAGATCTGGAAGTAAAGATAGAAGAATGTTTTCAACAGGTACAACATTATTGCAAATGATAAAATAGTTGTAAGCTTTTTAAAAAATTCCTACACAACTCTACATTTAAAGGATTCCAGGAAAATAATTTTCTGAAACTAGCATACATCCTTTTATGAATCTATGAACATTGACTAATTTTGTTCAAGTGATAATAATAGCTGATATTTCTATAAAACTTAAAGGTTTCCAAAATGCTAAACATGTATCATTAGCTCTTTTGGTTCTCACAGCAGCCTTGTGAAGTAGCTTGTATTCTATTTTGCAGATGAGTAAATTCAGGCTCTGGGAAGAGCCAGAATTAAATCCTAGATCTTCAGGTACCATGTACAGTACTGTTAGACTGTTTTACATTTACTTTTGAGGATATTTTTAGTCCACAACAGTGAAATTACCTTATTAAAACAGAGCCCTTATTCACCTAAATTCATGCAGTCCTAGACTTGTTCTTTATCTAGAAGCAATCATGCTAAGTGGTAATTTCCATAAACCAACTACACTAGTAAATTAAATAATATTTACATTCTTTTTCTTTGGGGGGGTGTTAAACTGATTAGATGATTAGATGAGTAAATTGATGTATTAAAGGACACTGTGCCCTTTGTGATGAGTTATTTGGTTGTAAGGAAATACTTGACAGGTGTGCTGAAAAACGATATTGTACTTTTGATTGTATATCTATAAACTGCTAAGATCTGCCATTGATTATTACTTATTGTGTAAAACTTTGAAAGTTATAACTTTGTATTGTTTTCAAAATGTAATATTGGAGTTATAGAAAAATTTCAGATTCTTCATTGATTGACCATTTTTTCCCTTGATGGACCAATGCATAGAAAGGTAGAGGAGACGAAGGAAAATGAGGGGAATATGTTTCTTCCTCTTTACCATAGCCTTTGGACTTCAAGGTCAAGCAAGGAATGTTGAAGAATCTTACTATACAGGACCTCTTTTGATCCCCAAATCTTCATAGAATCACAGAACTTAATAGTTGGAAGAATCCCAGTTGCTGTCTTGAACTAGATGGCTGAATTGCTTCTCAGTTACTGTTGAGAGCATCACCACCACCCTCCTAGTCCCCTGGTTTCCAGCCTAGGTGTTATCCTGTACTCCTCATTCTCTTTCACGCTGTGCCGCCCACACCCCAATCTGCTGCCAAGGCCTCTCAGTTACATCTTTGCAACATCTCTTGAATGTTTCATTCTTTCCTACAACGCTGTCACCATTCTAGTTCAGGCAATGAACACCTCACACTTTTATGATTGCAGTGGCCTACTGGTTGATTTCCTTGCCTCAGATCTTTCCTCACTACATTTTATCTTCCCTAGAGCTGCCAAATTAATCTTTCTTAAATGCAGATTTGACCATGTTATCCCTCTGTTCAGTAAACTCCACTAGCTCCATATCATTTTAAGGGCCAAATCCTCTGTTTGGTATTCAAAACCCCTAACAACCTGGCTCTCACTTTCCTTTCCAGTCTTCTTACACCTTACTCCTCTCCATGTACTCTGCCAGCCAGTGACACACTGACCTCTTTGCTGACCCTTGCACAAGACATTCCATTTCCTGAGTCTGGGCATTTTCACTAACTGTTACCCATGAGTAGAACACTCCTTTCTCATCTCCACCTCCTAAATTCCCTGCCTTCCTTCCAGTCCTAGCTAAAATCATACCTTCTATGAGAAGCTCTTCCTAACCCTCTCCCCTTAGGACTAATGCCTTTCCTCCATGGATGATCTCCAATTTATCCTGTATATGATTTGTTTATGCACAGTTGTTTTCATGTTGTCTCCTGCATTAGACTAATCTCTATGAGATGAGGGAGTCTTTACCTTTTTTTATCTCCAGGGCTTAGCATAGTGCCTAGCATATGATAGGCACTTAATAAATGTTTATTGACTGACTGAAAGGAATCCCTGCTACAATACATTGGACAAGTGGTCATCCAGCTTCTTGAAGATCTCCAACGATGGAGAACCCACCACCTCTTGAGGCAGCCTGTTGAGATTTTTGATAATTCTAGTTGTCAGAAAGCTTTTCCTGGGCTCAAGCCTAAATTTGTCTCACTTCAAATTCTATTCATTTTTCCTGTTTCTGCCATCTGGGGTCAAACAGACCAAGTTCAATCCCTTCTCCACATTATAGCTCTTCAAATATTTGAAGGTAGCTCTTGTGTCCTTCAAGTCTTCTTTTCTCAGGATAAATACCTCCAGCTCTTTTGACTAATCCTCATATGCTGTGGACTTAATGCTCTTCACCATCCTGATTGCCCTTCCCTGCAACTTTCCAGCTTAACAATGTACTTCTTTAATCGTGATGCCCAAAGCTACTCCAGATAGGGTCTGATGAGGGCAGTGTGCAGAGGGATTATCACCTCCCTATTCCTGAAAGCTGTGCCTCTCCATAGAATTCATGATTTCAGTAGCTTTTTATTTTTGGCTGTCTTATCAAACTCCTGACCAATATTGAGCATATAGCCAACTGAATAAGACCTCTAGATTCTTCTCATTACTACTTTGACCCCCTTTTGTTATTTTTAGCCTTACTCATCAGCCTGGTTTATTCTGAGTTTTAGCATTCTTGAGAGTTTGGATGGGAATTTTCCATACTTTTTGTACATCCTAAGTTACTTGCCCTGGCTTTTATCTTCTGTGTCTCAATACAGTTTGAATATATGACCACAGCCATTACACTCTTAACTCATAATGTGCTTGCAGTCCACTAAAACTCCTAGTTCTTCTTTCAGACTAACTTCTGTCTAACCATATCTTCCCCATTATCTACTTGTGAAGTTAGTTTTTTGAACCCATGTGTAAGAATTTACATTTCTCCTACTGAATTTTATAATTTTAAATTTATCCCAATTTTCCAGTCTGCCAAGGATATTTTTAGATTTTTATTTATTTTTAGATCCAAATTGTCATTCAACATGTTTGTTATTCCTCCCAGCTTTGTATCATGTGTAAATGTAATGACCATGGTATCTATGCCTTTATCCAACATGAAAGGGCCAACCACAGATCTGTGGAGCACTCTGCTAGACACATCCTGCCAGAGTGACATTGAACCATTAACAACTCCTCTTTCAGTCTGACCATTCAACTTATACCAAATCCATGCAATTTTATCATTGTCTAATCCAAATCTCTCTTTTCAACAATATGATATAGTTTATTAAATGCTTTGCTAACATTTAGGGAAACTATGTTAGCAGCAGTCCCTGGATTTAACAGTTTATTCACTCTGTCAGGAATGGAAATGACATTAGTATGGCATGACCTGTTCTTAATGAAGCTATGCTGGATCTTTGTAATAACTGGTTCTACAACTAGATGTTAAATAACCATATCTTCAATAATCTTAGAGTTTTTCCCAGGAATCAATCACTGGACTATACAATTTTTGTGTCCCCTCCCTCATTCCTTTTTTTTTCTTTTCTTTTTCTTTCTTTAAACAGGATAATACGTGCTCTGATTCAGTCTTGTGGTATTTCTCCCATTTTTGATAATTTTTCATATATCATCAACAGGGGCTTAACCATCACATGTGTCAGTGCATTCAATACTTATGGGTGTAGTTCATCTGAACTACTTGTCTTGAATTCATCAAGGATAAGTAGATAATCTCTTATTATATCCTAACTTTCCCTGGATACAATTTTCTATAGCCATAATAGCCAATAGTCCTGTCAGCCTAACATTTCTAGGACATGTTTTATTCTTCTTGGTAGAGAAAGTAGACACAAATAAGAGTTGACCAACTCTACTTCCTCTCCATTTTATGGTATTACTGTTTTATCTGTTATCAATAGATCCTAAGCATTTTATTTTTTCTTCTTTCCTCTAGTAAACCTAAAATAAGTCCATTTATTGTCTTTAGTTTTCTTTGCCATGCACAAAATTATGAGCTTTAGTGCTCTTGACACCGTTCTTATAGGAATGATCCTACTTTTAAATTCATCCTCTTTTAGTTATTCTTGCTTTCAACTTCTCTACATATATTTTTAAAAAAAACATTTAATATTTTATTTTTCCCCAATTACATGTAAAACCAATTTTTAAGAGTCTTCTTTTAAGTTTTGAGTTCCACATTCTCTCCCTCCCTTTCTCCCTTCTTCCCTCATTGAGAAGGCAAGCAGTTTGATGTAAGTTATGCATGTGCAGCCATGTAAAATACATTTCCATATTAGTCACGTTGTGAAAAGAAAGACAAAAAATTAAAAAAATAAAGTTTTAAAAAGTATGCTTCAATCTGCATTCAGACTCTACCAGTTCTTTCTCTGGAGATGTATAGCAGTTTTCATCATATGTCCTTCAGAATTGTCTTGGATCATTGTATTGCTGAGAATAACTAAGTCATTCACAGGTGATCATTGTATAATACTGCTGTTGCTGTGTACACTGTTCTCCCGGTTCTGCTCACTTTACTTTGCATCAGTTCATGTAAGTCTTTCCAGGTTTTTCTGAGAGTGTACTGTTCATAATTTCTTATAATAGCACAAAGGTCACAATCATACACTATAACTTGCCCAGTTGTTCCCCAGTTGATGGCATTCCTCAATTTACAATTCTTTGCCTCCACTAAAAGAGCTGCTGTAAATATTTTTGTACATATAGGTCCTTTTCCTTTTTTTTTTTTTGGCTCTTTGAGATACCAACCTAGTAGTGCTATTGGTGGATCAAAGGGTGTGCATACTTTTATATCCCATTTGACATAATTCCAAATTGCACTACAGAATGGCTGAATCAGTTCACAACTTCATCAACACTGCATTAGTGTCTTAGTTTTCCTGCATCTCCTCCAATATTTGTCATTTCCCTTTTCTATCATATTAGCCAATCATATTGGTGAGGGGTAGTACCTCAGAGTTGTCTTAATTTGCATTTCTCTAGTCAATAGTGATTTAGAGCAGTTTTTCAAAGGATTATAGATAGCTTTCATTATTTCATCTGAAATTTGCCTATTCATTTCTATATTTATCAGTTGGGGAATGGCTCTTATTTTTATAAATTTGACTCAGTTCTCTCTATATTTGAGAAATGACACATTTATCAGGATACTTGCTGTAAAATTTGTGTATGAACATTTGGAGCTATGAATTTTATTTTTGACTCTTTTCTTGCATTTTGCTTCCTGTGAATTTCCATGTATCTCAACTGCTTCTTTCCTTTCTTTATAGTGTCTAACTTGAGGAATATACAGAGGTATCCTCCCTCCTTCATGTTTTTTAGCTTTGGAATATTTTGATTTTATTTTTGAGATACCTTGAAAATACTTTCTCACCAACATTTCTTTGGTATACTTTTCTCTGACCAAAAATCCATTATCCCTATATTGTAAACCATCATCTAGAAATCCAGACCCTATTCTTAGATACTACTTTTTGGCCAAGCATTCAATCCCTAAATTAATTCTTCTCTTCTGCATGTATTTCCTTCAATTTGCAAAAGAGAGCAAAACATAACCTGTATCCTTACAGTCTTCAGTTTCTTATCCAAGACTTCCTAATCACAGGCAATACTTTTTTTTAGATGCCTTCTGTAAGTGTCATTTGTACTTATGTAAATGACCAGGCTACAAGCCAACAACACTAAAGTGGAGGGAGAGTTGGTGTACGACTTTTTGTTCATTCAGCGCAGCCTCTGAGGCTGAGATGCAGCAGCATATGGATTGATTCTCTGCTGCTTGTGTTAATTTTGGCCTGACAATTAACACCAAGAAAACAGAGGTTCTCCAGTAGCCATCACTACAACATCCATATGTGGAACTATTGGTTACAGGAAATGGAGATTTTGAATGCTATGGATAAATCCACTTACTTTGGCAGTATATTTTCCAGGGATGTACACATAGATGATGAGGTTGTTGCATTCATTGCCAGAGCTAGCTCGATGTTTGGGAGACTGAAATAAAGTGTGGAAGAGAAGAGGTATTAGGTTGCCTACCAAAGTGAAGGTCTATCAAGCCATTGGGCAGACCTCATTGTTGTATGCCTGTGAAACCTGGACAGTCTATTAGCACCATGCTAGGAAATTGAATCACTTCCATTTGAATTGTCTCAGGAAGGTTCTGAAGATCATTTGGCAAGATAAGGTACCAGACACTGAGGTTCTTTCTCAAGCTGAACTACCAAGCATTCAAACTCTGCTACAGAGAGTACATCTCTGACAATGACCACATTGCTTGGATGCCAAACATATGTTTGCCTGCCTAAATACTATTTATGGAGAGCTCACAAAAGGCAAGTACTCACATAGAGGTCAGAAGACATGATACAAGGAAACTTCCAATGTCTCTTTGTAGAATTTTTAAACCAGTTGTGAGACACGGCAGACACTGGCACAAGACCACCCAGCACATTGTGCCCACATCAGAGAAGTGCTCTATGAGCGAAGCAGAACTGCAGTAGTTCAAAGATACATAAGATGCACAAATTTAGAGACATCTCCAGATGTTCATATGGAATATTTGTGCCCAGCCTGTTAGAGCCTTCTGAGCATATTATTGGTCTGATGAGCCACAGTCAGAGACAATAAAAATATACCTTGACCCAACATAGTGATGTCATTTTGGTCCACTTTGAGCATAAAGGAAAACAGCCAACCAAATTACTAAAAGTGGGTGTGTCTCATCCATTTTGATAAATCTTGGAACGTTATCTGTTACATCTTATATACATGCCCCAGATAGATGATAGGACTCTCTGCTATTGTTCTTAGGTCAGCAAATAGCTGCGCAGGTGCCCCAGAGTAGGGAATCACAAGAGGGTTAGCATAGTACATGGTACATTATAGGCACTTCATATATGTTTATTGATTGATTGAATGAATCACCAACTGCTACTACTCTTTTCTTCTTCTGGGCTTTATTGATTGTCTCTCACCTTATCACCTCCGTGCCTCTTCTATATCATTCTTAAGAGAACAAGCAGCTTCTTCCCCTTCAGATCATCCAGCTCTCCCAGAACTACTAACTTCATTTTAAGCCCTTTTGTCCTTTGTTTTCAGTTCCTCTTCTTTTACACTCACATTCTTCTTTGTTCTGACAAGGATTGCCGCCCCTCCTGCCCTTCAGATCCTTCAGATCCTTCTTTTTTCCTCGCCATGGGAACTGCACTGCTGTTTCCTTCATGAACATTTTTATTCTTCTTTACAGCATGGAATGTAGGAGGCATAATTTGACTTAACCTTCTCTTCTAGGAAGGAATCACCCTATACTTGGAACACAGATAGTTATTCCACTGTGCTAGATATTTAAACTTTGTACCCTAACTGTTAAGTCACTGCAAAATTTCCATAATGATTGAGATTTTCAGCCTTGTTGCTTTGAATTACTTGTGAATATTTACACATTAACCCTCAAGCAGTTATCAGCATTGAACAGCTAACCCCACTAGTGGGATAAGTATGGTAATTCACAACTGAGTGCATGTTCGGGTGGGAACAGGGTCTTGTTTAGTACAAATCTTCTTGACTTTCCAGTGTGAGTTTATCACTCTTAAAGGGCTTTTTAAGTAAGCTTGAGCTGGTTTTCTCTGTGATACTATTGCAATCAATATAATAGTTTTACAAGCCACTCTGCCAGCTAAAGGTGGGTGGTTTTCCTTTTTAAAGGAGTTTGTTGCTGAGTTTTAGGACAACTGGTTATGATTTATTTTCTTATTTGATAGACATTTCTATTTACTGTGATATTTTATTTTTACAGTTTGAGCATCTCCTTCGGGAAAGGTAAGAGCTGTGCTTGCTGTTTTTTATTTTAGGTTCATGTTGAAGTCACATGGATAAGGCTGATATGGTGCATGTGGAAATTTTTTGAGTTGTGTTGACATATCCTGCATCAGGGAAATGCTAGCTCTTTTGAAAGCATACCAAGCTAGAAACTTGTTCCAAAATGATCTAGAATACTAGACAAGAATTAAAGGAAGCTTTATCAATTGGAAAGATTTCAATAAGCATTTAAAAAGTCAACTAGAAAGATTAATGTGAAGAAAAATATTCAAATTATTTTAGTGTAGCCTTGGAAATAATTCAATAAATCTGTTGAAATATTTGTATTCACATAATTCATTTTTGTCTTCCTGGAATGTCTGCTGGACTTTTAGGTAGAGAATGATGATTTAGATAATAAACTTTGTCATTCCTGGCTATAGAAAATCAGAGCAGATAAAAATTAATCAACGAGCATTTAATTAGGGCCTTCTGCTTCCTAGGCAGGCAGCTAGGTGGTACAGTAGATAGAACATGGGGCCTGGAGTTAGAAAGATCTGAGTTCAAATCCGGCCTCAGACACTTACTAGCCATGTGACCCTGGGAAAGTCACTTAACTCCTATTTGCTTCAGTTCCTCTTCTGTAAAACGGGGACACGTTGAAGAAGGAAATGGCAAATCACTCCAGTATCTTTGCCAAGTCCACAGGGTCATGTAGAGTCAGACACGACTGAACAGCAGCAACAAAGTGTCCTAGGCACTGTATTAGATCTCAGGGACACATTCTCTAGGGTGAGATAAACTGTAAAATATATGAAATAGTAAAATGAATAAATATGACTTAGTAATTGATTTAGAAATTCTTACATTTTAATCTCATCTGCTTGTTAAAAACCAAACTTCTGCTTATTAAGAGAAATCTTTATATCTAAGATGCTGGTATTGACATATAGACAATTCAGAAAAATAATAATAGTGAGGCAGTCAATGCAATAGTTGCAATAATTTCTTAAAGTATGACCTCAAATAGTTTATTGGCTGCTTTTGGCTTTTATACACTAGAAAAACCACTAATCGTGTGTCTTTCTAGCCCTGGCTGGGAGAATCTTAAGATAATAGGATCAAAGTTTAGAAGGGAAAGGACCCTTGGAAGTTCAACACCCTTACTTACTGATGAGGAAACTGAGGTCTGGAGAGATAATGTTACTTGCTCAAAGCTACTCAGATGGAAAGTAGTAGAACTCTTATACTGAAAAATGCAGAAGCCTTTCACTTTTAAATTATCAATGAATCACCTTTGAGGATAAAGCTTATCAAATACATTTTTTTTCAGTGAATTGCAGTCTTTGTTTTATCCATTAGTAAAAGATTCTTCCCTTATGCAATTTAAACCTACCTTTCAATGAAGCTCCTGGAAAAGGTGATTGTATATAAGAAGCTAGAATACTAGGTTGCCGCAGGACCATATCCAGCTTTGCAATTCATTTGAGGTACATATTCAGGAAGTATGTAGATTAATGCAGGCAAGGGAAGTGAACAAGCAACCAAAGTAAGTCCATTTATTAAGAGTCTTAAAATTCATTTGATTAAGGATTCTTTTTTTTAAGAAAAAAAAACCAAGCTGACATTTCTACTAAGTAATTGCTATACATCATGCAGGTTTGCAAGCACAATTAAGATGGAACAAATTGAAGGATATGTATTCCCCAAGCCTTCAGATTTTCATGCAAAGTTCATCAGAAAAGACAGTGGAGGTAAGTAAATCTGATTATAAGTATTTATTGTGAATGTTACTGAAGTGTTCCCCCGCTCTTGATTTAGCATCGTGTCAACTTTCATAATCATTATGTTTATCCCTTAAAATGTAATTTTCCCATCCGATGTTGAGAGTTTCAAGGATAAACTGAACAAAAGGAAGAATGGAAAGGGACTAAGCATTTATATAGCATGTCTTATGTGTCAGGCGCTATGTTAAGCATATTTAAAAAAATATATTGTCTCATTTGATTCTCACAATAACCCTGAGAAGTAGGTGCTATTATTATCCCCATTTAACAGTTGAGGAAAGTGAGGTAGACAGGGATTGAGTGACCATTTGACCATGGTCACACTGTAGTGTCTGAGGTCAGATTTGAATTTGCATCTTCTTAACTCCAGGCCTAGCATTCTCTCCACTGTGCCACTAGCTGTTTCTGAGCAGAGACATGTAAATACTAAAATTTATTAAAAGGGGCAGTGAACAAACTTATTTTTTTTTTTTAAAGATAGCTGCCAAGAGGGATTTTTGTTTTGTTTTGTTTTGTTTTGAATGCAAATGTAGTGGTGCTATCCAATAAAACTGGTTCATTTTTAGATCAATAAATTAATCAAGGGTTTAGAAGGTACCTATTCTGTATCAGGAATTATGTCAGACACTGGGGATCCAAGGCAAAGGTGAAGCAGTCACAAGCCTCAAGGAACTTCCATCCTAACAGGGAGACAAAGTGCACATGGAGAATCATGTATAAAATACGTATGAAATAAATACTCAGTGGGAGGACCAAGAAAGGCCACATGCAGACAGAAGGTAGCACCAAGTCTCTATCTTGAAGAGAGCAACCGAATTGTCCTTCAAAACAGATAGATATTAACATTTTTCTTGACTTTGTTAAAATTTTCTGTTCAATGAACCTACTAAATTCTCTGTGGAAGGTATTATTTTCTGCTTCATAAGGCTTGTGCTGTTCTTTCTATTTCCTTTAGTTTTTGGAAGTCATGTAAAGATAACAAAACCAGAATAGTCAAGCATCCAACAAAATTATACAGTTCTGTCCTCAAACCTTATTACTTTTTAATATTTATTTCGTATCTTAGTATTGGAAGTTTAATAGATATGGTTATGCAACATGAGTGAAAAGAGGCTTTTGTCCTGCAATGTATATTTTAGTCATCCAAATTAGTATTTTTTTTTATAATATTGTCAGAATAAGAAAGCCAGAAAAACTTTTGAAGCTATTAAGAAATTAGACTTTTAGACCTGGCTTAAACTTCATAATCAGCAAACATTATCATTGATACTTGGCAAAATTCTATAGCAGATTATCAAACAAATGGTTAGTGAATCATTAGAAAATAATCATAAGAAACTAGCAAGGGTTAAGTGACAAGTCATACTAACTTAATCCCATTTCTCTTTTTGATAGAGTTAACTAAGATGGTAGAACAGATGATTTAAAGTGTTTCTTCATTTCATTCTGACATTTAATGAAGTATTTCATATCTTCGTGGACAAAATAGTGCGAAACAGGCTTCATGATGGTACATTTATTTATGTAGATGGAAGCTGTTTGACCAACCATATCCAAAAAAAGCACCATATAATAGATTAGCATCAAGGGGGAGGATTGTTTTAAGTGCCACAGAGCTATGTTTTTAGTCTTTCCCTCTTCAGTTTTTTTAAAAATAATTACACAATAAATACCATCATAAGGGGAAAGGAGAAAGAGTGGGGACACTTGCAGTTTGCTGCTCAGACATACTCAACGCAATAACCAGAGTCTTTAACTTGTTACTCCTAGGCTCCATATGCTCGGTCTTCTTTTACCTTTTGCTATATTCTTCATGATTTTATCAAGTGAACACATTTTTAGCCACCGAACCCAGGGGATCTTGAATTGTTCTCTATGTCCTAGTTTCTCTCTGGCCTTATACTACTGCCAACTCTGCCAGTTGCTTGTCAAACATGGTTCTTTTTCCTGCCTTTTGGGATCAATTCTAAAAATAACTAATTAGCTATTTCTAGGCTAATTATCACCCCATAATCACCCCTCCTATACTTACTTTGGGTCCCACCAACCAGACTGTTGGACTATACATAGTCATGATCACAAATGATAATAAAGTGGGAATATGATAAATAGCAAAATAAAAATTCAAGATAATATCTTTAAGCTAGGATGTTGGACCAAACAACAAAATGAAATTCATCAAGGGCAAATGCAAAGTCCTGCATTTAAGTTAAAAGAAATAGCTATACAAGCATGGAGTGGATAGATGTGTCTTAAAAGTATATGATAGGGGCAGCGAGGTGGCGCAGTGGATAGAGCACCAGCCCTGAAGTCAGGAGGACCTGGGTTCAAATCCGAATTTAGACCAAACACTTGACACTTACTAGCTGTGTGACCCTGGGCATGTCACTTAAGCCCAATTGCCTTAAAAAAAAGTATGTCATAGAGATTTTATTTGACCACAAACTCAATATAAGCTGAGTGGGATGTAGCTTTCATAAAATTAAATGTACTCTATATTAAGATCATTCCAGTGTATTGTGTTTATTTCCATGCATTGAATTCTAAAAGGGACATTGATTATTTGAAATGTGTCCAAAGAATATGACCAATATTGCAAAAAATCTGGAAAAAAAGAGAGACATTTGAAAGAACTGAGGCATTTAGCCTAGTGTGAAAAGATTAAAAAAAAATTAGAAAGGAATATTAGTAGTTATTTTCAGATATTTCAAATGTGATCATGTAAAAGATGGATTAGAGAATCCATATAGTAACAGATGAGAGTATTAGGATCAAAGTTTGGAATCTGTAGGGAGATAGATTGTGTATTATCAAAGGAATAACTGTTTAGCAAGTAGGTATCTGATTTTTTTTTTCCTGTATGGTGGATGGGGAGGTCATAAGACCTATGTTACCTACCCCACAGCATCATTGTGAAGATCAAAAGAGATTTTGTATATAAAGTGCTTTGAAAACCTTGAAGTCCTTTGCAAACATCTGATGTTTCTATTATCATCCTCAGACTTGAAACATCAAACAGAGACTGTGCTAGCGGAGGCTATTCACTTGATCAGGAGCCTTGAAACTGACCGTAAAGATGCTGAAGATGCTTTAATGGAACAAAAATTAAGGAGGAGACTTATTTGCAAGAAAATTGACAGTTTGTCATTTTGGAGGCTTCAGAAACTCCCTTTTGCTGTGCAGAAAGGTACCAGAATGAATGCTGAGAGAATTTTTATATGTCAGTTGTTATTATAGAGGATGGAATAACTAACTACAGTCCTTAATTAAATCATATCAACTGTAACAGCTCTGTTATAAACTTGTATTTCCTTTGTGTTTGCACTCTTAAGCATTTTCAAACATCAGGCCACTTTTTCTTTAGTGTTTGCTACAGTAAAATGCATTTAGATACTGTGCCTTTCAGATGACTGCTAATTGATGTCATAGCCTGGATCCTTGGGAAACCCTGAAACTTTAGGAGTTGGATGAGGAACTATTGTCATTTGTTTTTTATTTGTAGAGTCCTGGGAGATTCTAATTTGAGGATAAGAAATCCTAAGTCATTTCAGTACCCATTTGCTCTATTTTCAAGTAGATTAGAACCAATTTTCTACTTGGCAATCTTGCAATCATCTGGGCTCATTCTAGGGGTCAGATTAAGCCTCCAAGGCAGTTCTGGATTAGAACAAGTCTTTGGGACTCATTCCAGTCCAAATTCACATCCTTGCAGAAAATCTGTGGCTGACTCCTCTCATATGCCTAGAAGTCCTTGGTGAAGAAAGGCAACTCTGAGGAAAACTGGATAGCTAATTGCTTATAGTTACAATGAATTGTATATTGTTTAATTTAAATATAGCTACAAATGTGATTAAGGATGGTTTCATAATTTAGTTTCAAGATAATGAAGAAAAATAATTTCAGGAAAAAATGAACAGAGTTTAAATGAAATAAAAAGATCACAAAATCATAGAACAAAAGCTGGGAGGGACCTCAGATGACTTCTTGTCCAAACCCTTCAATTTTATAAAGAAAACTGAAATTTTATAAGAAAACTGAAACCCAGGGTCTTGTCTATGGTCGTAACGATTGTAAGACTCAGAACTGGGATTTGGACCCAATTCTTCTCACTCTAGGGGTCCATTTTTATGCTGCATTAAGGCTTGAAGAACAGATTCCTCACAGGGATCCTAAGAAGGCAGGTAAAGAGAAGGTAGACATTTTATCATCATTTTAACAGCTGAGGAAATTGAGGCTCTGAGAGATTAAATGGTTTGTTTCCGGTCATAACAGTAATAATTTTCTGCTATGCTTTGGCAAATAAATTATCATTGGGCTAGTTTTACTTTTTTCCTAGTAACTCTTCATTTATCCAGGGTGAATGATGATTAATTCTATGTGGGTAGTTGTGAAAACTTAAGTTGTTTTATTTTTCTCTTTGTTATAGGCCTATTGTAACCCTAGTGGATGGCATTACAAAAGATAACCTTTATAAAAGACAAGCCTTCCTCTTAATAAGACTAGGACTGCTTATGACCAAGTTGAATATTTTGGACTGAATTTAATGTTTAGGCTATTGAAATAGCTAGTCTCAAAAAAATTTTTTTTATTATTTATCCTTTTCTTGAACTATCTGGTTGGTCTTATAGGCAGTCTATAATGTTAAGGATAGAATATATTACCCAATAATACTAACCATATAATCTTTGATTATTGAAAACAGTAATATAAATGCTTAGAGGCAAGGTTACAATGCCTGGCTTAAAAAATTCTGTCTTTAAGACTCTCTTCTAACATGTACTAGCTGTGTGACAGACCATGGACAAGTCATTTAACCTTGGTGTATCTAATGCAGCTCACTAGGATTTATCTGCTAGCTATGTCATAGATGGGTTACAATGTTAATCAATGGAAGTAGTTTTTCAAGCTTATGAAATAATACCATGATATCATAGATTTCAAACTTGAAAGGCCAAACTTAAGAGACCAGTTCACCCAATGCCCACATTTGACAGATGAGAAAACTAAGGTCTAAAAAATTAAGTGACTTTCCCAAGGTCACATAGTTAAGTCCATACCAGAGGTAGGCCTAAAACCCAGGTCCTCTGACCCCAAATTCATTGCAGGTCCTTTTGAAGATCTGAATATATAAATGCTAATATAAAGATTTTCTTTGAGATAGCATCCACATCTGGGGAGTGCTTGGTATGGACTGAATACATAAAGATAATATTTTGATATCTGTCCTTTTATAACTTCTGTTTTAGTAATAGCTCTGTTATTGTCTATATGATTTAAGGGGAGAGGGAAGTAGTACTGCTTACTGAAAAATTGCTTTAAGTATTTTTACTCCAGTTGCTGAATCATCATCCATCCCCTAGTGGCTGATATCCCCCAGGGCACTGTCTTGGGCCCTCTTTTCTTCTTTTTCATTATTCTTAAACTTGAGAGTCTCATAAGTTTCTAAGGGTACAACTATCATGTCCCTGCATATGACACCCAGATCTGTTTGTGTAGCCCTAGTGTTATATCCTGAGCATTAGTGCAGCATCACCAAATGCCTGTTGGATATTTCCAGCTGGTTGTCCTGTACGTATCTCAAACTCTTTCTATCTAAACCAGGACTCATCGCTCCCTCTCTCCTAACTCTTTCTTTCTTCCACATTTTTGTTATAGGTACCACCATCCTTTAACTCATCTAGGTTCATTAACCTTTAAATCATCTGCAAACCATTCTCCCTCATTGCCTTCCCTCCACCTCCATTTCCAATTAGTTACCAAGGTTTGTTACTTTTCTTTCCATAGCATAGCTCATATCCATCCATTGTTTATCATCTGGACTATTGAAATAACCTCTTAATTAGTCTCCAAACCTTTAGTTTCTCACCTTTCCTCTCCATCCTCACTTCTGCTGCCAGTGGATATTCCTAAAGCCCAGGTCTGACTATATCACTCCTCTGTTCAAGAAACTCTAGGGGACCTTAGTTGGTTCCAGTATAAAATACAAACTTTTCTGCTAGATTTGTAAAGCCTTCCACATTCTGGCTCTAGTCAGGCTGTCACACATTCCTAGCTTTCCAGGCTGGTTGCACATTCCTCTCCTTCATTATACCCTTCGTTCTAGTCAAACTGGCCATCTTGCTGCTCTTTGCAATTTGACATTCTATTCCCAATCTCCACACTTTTGCAAAGGCTTTCTCTCACCTTCATCTGTCATTTTGATAAGCAGGTTATCTACGTCTTCATCTAAATCACTGATAAAAGTGGTAATGGCACTGGACCAAGAAAAGATCACTTGGATACTCCCTTGGAGAACTTCAGCCAAATGGATGTCTATCAAATTAGAAAACCATGAATGAGTTTTTAAATTGTTAATGAAACATTAAGCTGAATGCACTTAATTGTATAACCATCTGATATATACTTTTTCCTCTTTCAAAAAATAAATTATAAGGGGCAGCTAGATGGCGCAGTGGATAGAGCACCGCCCCTGAAATCAGGAGGTCCTGAGTTCAAATGTAGCCTCAGATCAAACACTTGACACTTACTAGCTGTGTGACCCTGGGCAAGTCACTTAACCCCAATTGCCTAAAAAAAAATTATATTGATAGCTTTTGCTTTTATATTACTTATATTTCCCAATCTATTCCTTCTTCTACTTCCTTGTAAAAAAATTATGAAGGAAGAAAAAAATTGCATAAAACTAAGCAATGCATTAAAGATAGCTGAAATTATATGCAGTATCTTATAGTATGACACCTCTTCATTACGAAGGAGAGTATCATCCTTTTGTATCTGTTATTTGGGGCTAATCTTGGTCAGTAACATTCCATAGCACTCAGTTTTGATGCTATTGTTATTTTCATAAATATTTTTGAGTTATGTATATTGTTCTCCTGGTTCTGATTGTTTTACTTTACATTAGTTCATAATAATCTTTCGATGCTTCCTTGTATTCTTCATTTTCACCATTTCTTATAGCATAGTAGTTTTCTGTTATATTCAAATGCTACAGTTTGTCTAGCCATCCTGCTATCGATTGGCATGTACTTTGTTTTCAGTTCCTTGTTACCACATAGAGTACTGCTATAAATATTTTGGTGTATATGGGGCTTTTCTTGTTATCAGTGATCTCAGGAAATAGGCTCAACAGTGGGATTTCTGGGTCAAAAGATATGTTTAAGTTTTTTTTTTTTGGCAAGGCAGTTGGGGTTAAGTGACTTGTCCAGGGTAACACAGCTACTAAGTGTCAAGTCTGAGACTGGATTTGAACTTGGGTCCTCCTGACTCCAGCGCCAGTGCTATATCCAGTGCGCCACCTAGCTGCCCTGTGAGTCAAAAGATATGTCCAGTTTAGTTGCTTTTTTTTACAAATTTCTTTCCAGAATGGTTGTGCTAATTCATAGTACCACCATAACGTGCCTTTATTTCCCTTCAATGCTGACCTTATTTCTGTTTTTTCTCATCTTTGCCAAATCTTCAAAGAGCATACAAAAATCTTTTAACAAATATTACAAGACTAAGAAAAAATGAACTAAAATGCTAGATAAATACAGAATTCTATAAAATTCCAAGGAAAAAACAGGACAGCAAGACAGTTCAAAATGATTCAAAAGAAAAATGAAATCTTAACAAGAAGAAATTAGAATGGAATAAAGGTCAGATATATAGCTTTCAAAGCAGAAATGATTAGTAAATTGGAAAAACTTGAGCCCACAGTTCTGAATTTCTCTAAAAATGAGAGAATAATCAATTTGGAACATAAAAATACTGAACTGGAGGAAAACTTGGCAGAAGAGAAGCAAAATGTGATGTTAAAAGAATACATTATCTCAATGCAAGCGCAATTATTGCTTTCAAAATGAAGTTTAACAAAAATGATTTAGGATTATAGTTCTCCCAGAAAATCACGTGACAAACCCTGAACACTGTAAACTGGAAATAATATAAGAATCTTCCAGTACTTCTGAATATGGAAAAAAAGTAACCAGATTGCCTCTAGAAAAACAAAAACCAAAACCAGACAAACACATAAAAACCTTAACACTACAAACTCTGAGATACCATTGGTTAATTTTGGAAAGTTGGGTGACTTTCACATTGCTATCTTACCGGGAAGAGAAGTTCTCCTGTCTTCTTAAAATGGAAAGGAAAGTACCAGGAACAAGAAAATGCTTTTTTGGTATTCCTGGACCTTAATACTTTTCAGGGGTGATGCCTCATTTTGCTTCTGCCTCTCTGTATATATGGCTTTGTGTGTTTAGCTCCCAGGTCTCCTTGACTCAAGATGACTTTGCATTGTGTGTCTTGAACTTTCATTGCTTCTGTAAAAGTTTTAGGATGTGGTTGCTATTAAACCCTATGGTTTGTTTTCAGATGCCCGTGCCTTTTTCCTTATGGCCTTTTAAAACATAACTGGAACAAATATAACATAGAAGATAATTTAATAACATCCCTTAGTGTACTTTTCCCCACTTTGTTATGTATGCAAATAGGGTTCTACTCCTGTATTAATTTCACAATCATTGATTGCTTTATTTCCAGAAACCAAAGACCAATTAGATCATTAATTGCTAGTGTGTTTTTCAAAAAGAATGACAAAGATGTATGCATTATGGGTTTTAGTTTCAAACTAAATTTGAAAGTTACTTTAAAATTCTTAAAGGAAAAGGAGAGAAAAAATTATTTTTGAAAAGTTTAAGCTACTGAAATTCACTATGATGCCTTTGAATTGTTTAAAACATTTTAGCATATTAGTTATAACACAGTTAGTTTTAAATTTCCCACCCCAAAATGTCAAATATTGTGTTTTCCCTTTTTATTATTTGCAGAGGAAGAGGTGATGAATATTTCTGTGCCCAGTTGCCAATTTTGGGGGATATTTAAGCTTCTGCTGTATGTAATAGTTCCCCAGCAGATGTACTTTAATGAAAAGTAGAAGTCTAAATTGAATGAGGCACTTTCAAAAACATAGAAACTCACCAACTCCTAAAATAGTTCAGAGTTTACCATTCTGTTTTTTAATCAAATACTCTTTTAATTTAAATATGGCATACTAATTGTTGGATTTGTGACTGGTAGACTTTAAATTTGGAATGGAACTTTTCCTTAAAATTTTGCTTTTGTGACATTTTTATTATTGATATTTTAGGGGTTACATAAATCACCATTTACGAAAAATGTCTGAGTGTTTCAGTAACTGGAAATACAGAGGCAGGAAAGAGTCAGCAGGCTCTAGGTAGTGCAGTTGATAGAGTGTTGTACCTGGAATCAGGAAAAGCTGAGTTCAAATCTGGCTTCAGGCACTTATTAGCTATGTGTGACCCTGGGGAAATCACTTACCTCTTGTCTGCCTCAATTTCCCCACCTCTAAAATGGGTGTAATAGTAGCACCTACTTTCCAGGTAGTATTAACATTACAAACTTACTGGGAAATCTTAAAGGTTTTTGAAGGTGAAAGTGCTAATGTAATTCTTTGTAATATGAAAAAATGTTTTGCAATGATTTTCTCTTGGTCTTAAATATGATAGAAAAGTAATTTTAGAAAAGCCAAAAATAATACTCTGATTTGAATAACAAAAGATAATTCTTTCCTATATTAGGTTTCAAAAGCTGATTCTTCTGCCATTTTTCTCACTTAACTTAACAGAACACGAGACTAATATGTCAGAGATCCTTGAATTACAGTGGAAACTTCATCAGAAAAAAAGAAACTTAGAGAAATTTCAGCAGCAAGTGTCCAGGGTAGAGGCAGCTACTAAGAAGCTGAAAGATGATGTAAACTTCATGAGGACACATAGACCCCTGCTGGAAGAAAAGCTGAATATAGAAATTGACATTGTGAGGAAGGCATATTTCGAAAGAGAAAAGGTAAAATGTAGATTCAGAATTGTGTTGCAAATATTTTTAGCTGAGTGGAACTGATATTTCCTCCAACTGTTTCATTTAGCCTTTGAACACTGAACTGCCATGTATTTTCTCAAAGAAATGTTATTATTTTAATGTAAATATTCACAAGTGTTTGACAGTCAGTTGGAATGTTTTCCCCATGTTTATTAGTCTTCTATTATGCTCAAGAGATAATTAGCAACTTAGAGATTGGCCCTCCCCCAACCTTAAAATCCTTTTTAAAGTTGTAATTGAATTTGAGGTAAAGGCAATATAATTAACCACTCTAAGAGTTCATAAAGTTTTAGGGGGGAGGTATTTAATGATTGAATGTAATTGACTCACCCTTTTATTGGTTATATGTACACATCTCCCAAGCACATAGTGATGTTAATAGTTCTATTCTTTTCTCCTTATATTTCCAATTTGAAATATTACAGAAGAAAAACTAAATATTTTGAAACTTTTCATAATTATTTTATTTCTGCCTATTGTTTTTTAAAATCACAAAATGTTATCTGCAGAAGAACTGTGGATTTTGAGATATAGGAGAGTAGATTTAAATTTGAGGAGACTTGAGTCATTTTGCAGATGAGGAAATTGAGGCCCAGATAGGGGTAAGTTTTTTGCTCAGCTTTACCTTTACTTACTAGTAAGTGTCAGAGGCATAATTCAAACCCAAGTTTTCCTGACACCAAGTCTAGTGTGTTAACTACTACACCATGATGCCTGTAGCCTTCGTTGACTTCATTGACTGTCTCCCAGCTAGATGGATTCAAATTGAGGTTGAGAATTGCTCACATTTGGGATGTTTAGGAACCTATGTAGTTATTATTTATTTTACATATTTTACATACATTTTCACATATATTATCTCATCTGAATCTCAGATCAATTCTGTGATGTAGGTGGGGCAGCTGTTTTTCCTATTTTAATCTGATTTAATATTAATCAGCCTGTAAATGGCAGTGCTACATTTTTAGATATGTTGGAGAGGGGCTTCTTTTTCAGAGAATTTTGTCCCCCTTCATTTAATTCAAATCTATAAGATTATATTTTCTTTAGTTCTACTTTGTCCTCTGGCTCCAAGAGATTTGGGCAGTTCTATTTTCAGATTTCTTGAGATATGCTGTCAAGATTCTTTTTTTGGTCATAGCATTCAGGTAGTCCAATGATTCCTCCTTTTTTTTTTCTCACCAATCACTTTGCCAGGTTTGTTTTACTATGAGGTAAATGACATTTTTTTCTATTTTTTTTTCAGTCTTTAGACTTTGTTTTAATATTTTTTATTGTCTCATGGAATCATTGGCTTCTATTTGGTCTATTTTAATTTTCAGGGAGTTTGTTGTTTGGGCAAAGTTTTGTATCTCTCTAACAAAGCTATTAATCACCTTTCCAGTTCTTTCTTCCATCCCTCTCTTTGCTTTTCCAGTTATTTCCTCTGGTGTTCTCATTTCACTTATAAAAACATTTTTAACCCTTTAAAAGAATTTCCTTAATCTGTTCCAGGAATTCTAGTTTAATTTGTGCCCATATTGTTTTTCTATGAAGGCTTGCTTGTAGATATATTGTAATCATTCTCTTCTGGGTTTGAGTCTTGGGCATCCCTGACCCATAATAGTATTTTATTGTAGGATTCTTTTATGTTTGCACATTCTTCCAGCCTGCTTCCTGGCTTTTAGATTCCTTGGACTTCATATCAGGCTCAGGCTCTGCCACACTTTTGGAGAGAAGGTCTGAGTTGGTCCTGTTACTGCTTTCTTTTGGATATTGAGTTATTTGGATATCTGTTATTCCAGATTCTCAGGGACAGATGGAGGACCTTCAAGCTTGCAGTGTTCCCAAAGGGATCTGACCCAGGACAAAGTCTGATTCTTGCTCCCTTTCCCCATGTGATTTTTTCTTAAGCTATTTCATTTCTTTTGCTAAGATAGGATTATTTATGTATGCTACTTCTGTTAATCTGGGAAACATTTTTGTAGTTATTCTTCCATTTCATTTAGATTTCAGTTTCACTGCCATAAAGTTTGGCAAAATAGTTCCTTATAAAGGTTTTAATTACATCTTTATTGGTCACACATTCACCCCTTTTAATTTTTGATACTGATAATTTGATTTTTTTTTCCTTTTTTGATCAAATTTGTCAGTTGTTTTTTTTATTAATTCAATGGAATTTTACTTTCAATTTTATTAATCTCTTTTGATTTTTAGGATTTTTATTTTGGTGGTGTTTTTTATTTTTAATTTTAAAAATTGGGGATTTTAATTTGTTGTTTTTCTAGAATTATTAGCTGTATGCTACATGGCAAGATAATATCTGTAACTCTCAACAACTTTATTACCACAAGAGCAATTAGAAGGAGTATATGCAGATAGAAGGTATAGATGTAAGGTAACTTTTATGGAATGATACCCCAAAAAACAAAATACAGGGGCAAGAAAGAAAACTACACTGGAAGAAGGAGGGAAAAGATTGAATGGGGTAAATTATCACACATAAAAGAGGCATGACAAAGCTATTATAATGGAGGGGAAGTTTATTGATCTGTTCTTTATCTCTTTTACTGATGTCACCATTTAGAGATATACATTTACCCCTAATTTGTGCAACCCACAAATTTTGGTATATTTTTTCATTGTCATTATCTTTAATGAAACTGTTGTTTCTATAATTTGTCCTTTGACCCAAACATTATTTAGTTTCCAATGAACTTTTAATCTATACTTCACAGGCATTTTATTGAAAGTAATTATTACTGCATTATGGTCCAAAAAGGGTGCATTTAATATCGCTGTTTTTCTGCATTTGTTTGTGAAGTTTTTGTGACTTAATATATGGTCAACTTTTGTATGATGAAATGCACAGCTGAGAAAATACTCTTTTCTGTTCCCATTAAGTATTCTCCAGAGGTCTATCATATAATTTCTAAATAATATAGTTTTATTATCTGTTACCTCTTGTGACTCATTTAACTTCGCCTTCAAAAATTTAGATGCCATACCATTTGTTGCATATATGTTTAGTTTTGTTATTTCTTCATTGTCTGTACTTTTCAGTACCTTTCAGCAAGATACAGTTTCCTTCTTTATCTCTTTTAATTAGACCTTTTTGATTTTGCCTTGTCTGAGATCATGATTGTTACCCTTGCTTTCTTTGCTTCAGCTGAAGCATAATAGATTCTGCTTCAGCCCTTTACCTTTACTCTCCGTGTCCCTCTCTGCATCAGATGTGTTTCTTGTAAATAAAATATTGTAGGATTCTGTTTTTTAATCCATTCTGTCGTCTGCTTCTATTTTATGGGTGATTTTTATACCATTCACATTTATAGTTATGATAACTAATTACATGTTTCTCTCCATGATATTTTTTACTTGTTTATCCCCCTCTCTCTCACCCCCCTTAGAACAAGTGTTTTACTTCTGATCACCTCCTTCCCCAATATATCCTCCCTTTATCAATCCCTCTCCACCTTTTATTAACCGTGTCTCTTTTTACTACCTTATAGGTTAAGATAGATTTCTGTTTCCAACTGAGTGTATATGTTATTCTCTCTTTGAGCCAATTTTGATGAGAGTAAGGTTTAAGCTTTGCCTGCCACCTGCCCCCCACCACACCTTCCCCTCCATTATAATAGCTTTGTCATGCCTCTTTTATGTGTGATAATTTACCCCATTCAATCTTTTCCCTCCTTCTTCCAGTGTAGTTTTCTTTCTTGCCCCTGTATTTTGTTTTTTGGGGTATCATTCCATAAAAGTTACCTTACATCTATACCTTCTATCTGCATATACTCCTTCTAATTGCTCTTGTGGTAATAAAGTTGTTGAGAGTTACAGATATTATCTTGCCATGTAGAAATATATATTATTGAATTTCTTGTGTTTTTCTTGGTGTGTTTTTTTTACCTTTTTATATTTGCCTTGAGTCTTGTATTTGGAGGTCAAATTTTTTGTTCAGGGCTGGTCTTTTAATTAGAAATGCTTGGGAGTCCTCCATTTCATTGAATACTCATTTTTCTCCTGAAAGATTATATTCAGTTTTGCTGAGTAGGTGATTCTTGGTTGTAATCCTAACTCTTTTGTTCTCTGGTGTACCATATTCCAAGCTCTCTGTGGAAGCTGCCAAAACCTGTGTAATCCTGACCGTAAACTCCACAATATTTGAATTATTTCATTTTGGCTGTTTGCAATACTTTATCCTTGATCTGTGAGCTCTGGAATTGGCTGTGCTGTTTCTGGGAGTTTTCATTTTGGGATATCTTTCAGTCTGTGAGTGGTAGATTCTTTCAATTTCTATTTTGCCCTCAGGTTCTAATATACCAGGGCAGTTTGATTATTTTTTAAAAGATGTCCAGGTTTTTTTTTTTTATTTTTAATCATGGCTTTCAGTTAGACCAGTAATTCTTATATTATCTCTCTTGGGTCTTATTTTCCAGGCCAATTGTTTTTCCAATGAGATATTTTATATTCTCTTCAATTTTTTTTTCTTTTTTGATTTTGTTTTATTGTATCTTGCTCCCATAGAGTCATTAGTTTTCGTTTGTTTGATTCTAATTTTTAAGGAGTTATTTTCTTTAGTGAGTTTTTTTACTTCCTTTTCCATTTGGCCTATTCAATTTTTTAGAGTTATTTCCCTCTGTAAATTTTTGTATATCTTTTCCTATTCTGTTGACTCTTTTTTCATGATTCTCTTGTATTACTCTCATTTCTTTTCCAAATTTTTCGTCTACTTCTCTAATTTGCTTTTTAAAATCCTTCTTAAGCTCTTCCAGGTATTCTTTTTGGGCCTGAGACCAAATTACATTTTTTTCTTTGAGGCTTCACATGTAGCAGTTTTGACACTATTGTCTTCCAAGTTTATGCCTTGATTCTCTCTATCACCACAGTAACTTTTTATAGTCAAGCTCTCTTTTTCCCCCTCAGTTTTTTTTCCTGCCTTTTCCTATGAAATGCTATTTTTATGTGAGAGTTGGGCTGTTGTCCTT